GTTGTTTACTTCATTTTTGTTAAGTTTCATCAGTTCTCCATATATTTTTGTGATCAGTCCTTTATCGCTACTTTTGTGTGAGAAAATGTTTTCCCAATTAGTGATCTTTCTGTTTGTTTTTAGTAATGTCTCTTTTGCTGTACAGAAGCTCTTTAACTTGATATAGTCCCATCTATTTATCTTTGCCTTCACTATTGTGGCTAAACAAATCTTTTTTAAAAAGAGTGTTCATAGGGGAGTTGACATGAGCTCTATATTTTTTGTTGTTTTTTTTATTATTAAGGTAAACTTGCTTTACAAAACTATGTATTCAGGTGAATTGGTTCACATCTCTCTAGATGTATTTTACCAAAGCACCCACAGTTCCCCACGATAGTCCATTGAGTCTCCTCCTTCCTTTGCTCCCTATCTCCTGCCCTTACCCTCTTGTACACTCAACAGTCAGATTTCTATGAGAGCCTTAAAAAAATTCTAAGTCTGCTGTTACAGTTATAAAAACTACTCTCCTAACCTCCTTCATGTAGTATTGCTACTTTGCCATGACAGTTATACAATCTACAAACTAGAGAATTATCTACGCATATCTGTTAACTGGGAGCTTGTGTATTTAGTGTCAAGGAACTAGAGGTTTATGAGCTCCAAGATAGAGCTGGTGAGCTGTGTGGCTAGCACTATAGCAGACAGTAAACAGCATTTACCAAATAAAACTACCACTATTATTTACACTAGTTAGGAGCAAGCATAATAGCAAACCATCACATAGTGACATCCTTGAAATTCCGCACTGGTATTAAATGGGGTTTCAGTTACACATTAAATGTTTAGCAATTTATAGAGATCTTTGTGGAGTTATCAAGGAAATTGTTGGTTTATAAGACTTAACTCAGTTGATTATGAACTGGATGTGGCCATGATAGTTCTCACTCTGTGTCTTCAACACTTCCCATGACAGGAAATGGAGAGAGCTTGGTGTTTCCCTGGCCAGGTGAGTTAGGGTGGGCTTCTAATTGTGAACTACTTTATTTTCCCTCTTCTATATCAGCCCACCATACATACACAACAGCCATGGATTATGGACAACCAGCATCTCTCCTTTCATTGGGAGACAAAATGAAAAGCAGTTTTTTCCTCCCTCCGAAAATCTGGGGTCCCCCTAGTCCACTGTCTGCAAAACACTTTGCTAGATGCTAATTAAAGGTGTTGAGGCATGGCACACTATTGAAGGCAATCATAAGAGATTTATGAATGTATTAAATAAAAGCTTAGCATGGGTGTGTCTGGAAAGGGAGTGCTGAAGTCCGCTTAGACACCTGGGGTGCCTCTAATGAAGCATGAAGGTGTTGGAGCCAACATCTCAGCCCACAGAGTTCCTCCGCTATCCCACCGCCACCCCTACTTTCATTTTCTTACCCTTTGAGCAAAGCATGAGTAGGAACATGAACCTCTTCACTGCATCAGCATGGGCTGCAAGATGAAGATACTCTAAAATACCCAGTTATGTTGTGAACTTTTTCTACTTTGGCTTAAACATTCTTTTAACCTCTTCTTACTAGTCTCAGTTTCTATATTCACTACACTTTTCTTCATCCTTAAAATTTGCCAGTTCTATTTTTCTTTTTTTTCCTTAAAGTTATATTAAGCAGAGCTGGAAATGGAGGGCTTACAAGAAGCTCACTGCTGAAGAAGCGGGAATGATTAGCGTCCAGATACCAGAAGCTGTACATGTGTATTTTGCTTGTTATTAAATGAAGTAGTGGTACTCCTGATATAAAAGTTCAGCTTTTAATAAGTCCTGTCTATTCTAGAACAAGATCAAAGGTAAATATGGATCCAATGTGTGGTTAAGGAAACATACACCTGAAGCAATAAGGAATGGATCAGATAAGTCCAAAATTTGAATTTTGCAGTTGCCATTTAGTGGTTTTATGATCTTGAGAAAGTTTCTTAATCTCTGCAAGCCTATGTCCTTTTCTGGAGAATAAGCCTCCCTTGTCCTGGACAATACACATCTAGAAATACTGTAGAGGTTTGCATTAGCACACTTAACAACCCCCCCCACACACATACACATACACACACACGCACAGTTATGATCAGTACCTCAGGTTTTTCCTCACAAAATACAGATGCCCAACACTGAATTCTGTTCATTAAATGCAGTTAATCAAAAAATAGTTTGTTTATCTCAGTTAAATTCTCTGCTATTTGAAAAAATAAGGATCTCTTTGCCACATCGACTATGAGAATGACCATTCTCAGTAATCAGATTGCTGATGTTCCAATTGTTGATGTTCCAGAAAATGCCAATATCTCCCTGAAAGAATGCACTCGTTTTGCAAAGGAACCCAGAGGCACCCTGCTGAGGGACTTCAATCCCATCAGTGTTGAACTCTGTCTCCTTAGAAAGAAAGAGAAGAGGCTTCAGGTTAACAAATGTTGAAGAAACAGATGAACTGGCCACTGTTTGCACTATCTGCAGTCACCCACAGAACGTGATCAGGGTGTTACACTGGGCTTCTACTGGAAGATGAGGTTGTGCATGCTCACTTCCCATCAAAGTAGTTATATAGGAGAATGGGTCTGTTGTTGAAATTTGAAATTTCTTGGGTGAAATACATTTTTGGGGTTAGAGTGAGAACTGATTATTCAGTTTCTCAAGCCCAGAAAGATAAATCTTAAAGGAAATGACATTGAATTGATATCAAATTAAACTTCTTTGATTTAGCAAGCTACCACAGTTAAAAAACAAGGATATAGGGAAACTTTTGGAAAATAACATGATACAGTGCACAGAAAAAATCCTGTACTAGAGGCAGCCCATCCAAAGGACAATCATGGCTCTGTAACATGGCCTAAGGCCTCTTTTATCATGGTTCTGCCTTTTTTCCTCTCACCCTTCAAAATGGTCTGTACTCCAGGATTACTGACCTGTGATTTTCTGGATATACCATAGTCTTTCATCCATAAGTACTTTCTACTTCTTTCATGGCTAGGTTAGAAACTATTCAAAGAAGTCATTATAGTCACCATCAGCTTAATCATCAAACTAATTGGTCACATTTGACTGAAAAACTTGAGTATTTTTAAATAAAGTCTACTCTGAAAGGGTAATTGTCACTATTGGGAGTATTTACTTACTAAGTAACAATGGCAAATATTTAATGAGCTGCCTACACATTACATTACATCAGCCCATTGGTATTAAACTTCTTCCCACTGAAAAGATCAGGTCCATGAGTATAAATAACTTGTATGTGTAATGAAATTTGAATTCTGCTCTGCCAGGTACCAAAAGTTATTCTCTTACCCACTACAATATTGTCTACTATATGGAAAGTACTGAGCTGAAATTTGTGGGCTATTTGAGAATTGTTTAACAGGTCCTTAAGTAGCTAATGCAGCCTAGTACATGACATGAGACCTTTACATGAAAGAAAATGTAAATGTCCAACAATACACATACTGTGCTATTCCAGAAGTATGCTATAAATTCTGAAGCTAACAAGAATAGGTATTTAAAAAAAGAATCAGGAAGGAGGAGGAAAAGGAAGGAAAAGAAAAAAAAACAGTTTAAATTAAAAGCAGAATGTAAAATAGTAGAAGCAGCAACAGACTTACATGGTCAGACAGAGATTCTGGTCCCAGTTACCATTTGCTAATGAATATGCGTGGGTTTACTGCAAGTTTATAAATGTAGTATAATTACATCATCATAGTAAGTCTATTGCTGCCTGATATAGGAAGGAAAGTATCAGAAAAGTTCAACAGGGTTTAAAAAATCTCACTACATTATAAAATATAATATTTGTATTTGATTAAATGTATTTTTATTATAGGTATCGTGGATATCTTATTTCATATTAGTTGTAATGCTTGTCTCCTTCTCTGTGCAATTCAGGGTCCAAAGCCATTCTATAGGAATCAGAGTCTCCTATGATTAAATGAAATATTAAAGAAAAGGCAAAGTGGTGGTTAAAAAAAAAAGTTCTGCCCTTGCTTTTTAGCTTCTCTCTTCCCTGCCTAGCTTTTATTCGTCTGATTTATTCAAGAAAGGGAGCATAAAAGCATCTTATTAGAAATTTTTATCCAGGAAATATGCGCACTTAGGGTCAGTTTTAAGGAACTAAAAGAAGGGGGAATCAAGAGAAGAATAATGTCATGCAATTAAAAAAAATCTAGTTTAGCAGCAAACAGCTAATATCATTTTGTGTAAATTTGATTTATCACCTACTTAAAACATCCTTGCAAAGTGATATGAAACATCCTTGTTTCCATGAGCCTCTAATTTGGATGTTTAGAAATAGTTCAGATACATCTAATAAGTAAATTTTTGGCTGCAATGTATAGGAGGCTATTGCTGTTTTACATGCAGTTAAGATGAAATAGACTAATCCTTGTTATAATAAACTTCCAGGAAAGAGAAGAGCCGCTCTCCCAGCAGATGTTCTAAAACTGTTGCTTCCCTCCCCCTACCCTCCGCTTTTTTTTTTTTTTTAATAAGGATTTTTGGAACAAGCTTTAAAGGTGCTGTTGGTGTCTCCACGACAAAAGTTAGATTTCTGCCAGCAGCTTTCATTAAGTTTAGCTTTTAGCCTTATGCCCTCATCATGTGCCATAGATTCAGTTTTGAATTAACAACGCTAATCCACATGTAAATCTCCACACGTTAAGCAATGTGATTACATTTTTAGAATACATATTTAAACTTCTGGTTAGTGTTACTTTTAAGAGATGTGAAAAACGCACATTTGTCTTTCCCGATGAGTTTTAACTTCTAACCAGGTGGTCTGAAGTCTGCCCCCCATTCACCCTCTCCAGTAAGCTCTAAGAATGTAGTCTCTTGATCTCGCCTCAACTCTTAGGACAGGGCCTTTTGTGTGCACAGTTCTCATGAATAAAAGAATTTGACTAACTTGAGGAAGATCATAAAAGGTCTCCCCCAAAGATAGTTGTTCATTTCAGGGTACGCTGCGGCGATTTTCTCAGCTAGTGCTGCACTGATGGGGGCAGGGAGGATAAGAAACGTCCTCAAAAGTCGGGGCTTATCACCCGGAGATGCCTCCAGTGGAGTTGACAAATCTCTCAAGTGGGAACTAGTCAGTTTTCCCTCCAAAGGGCCTCGGCGTGTGAGAGGAGGAGGGGGGATGGGCAGGGGCCATCAGGGGAGAAGTCTCCGGCCTTTCCACGTCTCTCAACACCATCCCTTCCCCACCCCGCCTCCTCCTTCCCCGAATCCTAAACAATCCGGCAGGAGAGGGGCCCCGGGGGCAGGCAGGGCCGGCCGGCTCGGCCTTTGTGGCTCTGTCCTCGACGGTGGCGGGGAGACAGAGGGGGCGGGGACGCGGGCCGAAGACCCACAGCCGGGGCTTGACCCCCAGGTGCATTGTCCGGCGGGGGCCGCCGGCCCGCCCCCTCCCCCCGGGGCCGCGACCCGGCCGCCACGGGCCCCCTCCCAGCGTCTCCCTCCGCCGGCCGTGCCGACCTCGCGGTCCCCAGACCAGGGGCCAGATGTAGAAAGTAGTCCCCAGGCCGGCAGCGGCAGCGCTGTCCACTCCGCCGCCCCCGCCCCCTCCAGCCACCGCCTCACTCCGCCCCGGGGCCGGACTCTCAGGCCCCCTCCTCCCGCGAGCGGGTGTCCGTGCGCCGGCCTCACCGCGACCAGACACCAGCCGCCGGTCGCGCCGCGCCGCGCCAAGCCGGTAGGTGACGGAGCGGGAAGCCCAGGCTGCGCGCGTCCAGCTGCGGCGCGGGGAGCTCCCGAAGGCGGGGGCCGGCGGACAGCAGCTGCGAGCCGGCGGGGGAGCATGCCCGCGCAGCCCCGCTGAATGGCGCCTTCTCTGCGACCCCTCGCCCGGCTGCGGCAGCCAGGGATGCTGCTCCGCGCGCTCCTGCTCCTCGGCTCCATTCCAGGTAGGCGCGCTTTCTTCCTTGGCTGTGGGAGTGAGCAGGCGCGAGTGGGGTGAGGGGAGAGAGGAAGGCGGGTATGTGGTTGGGGGCGTTGGGAGGACCGCGGGGTCTCCACTGCGGTGCTGACTGCGGTCCCTGCCCCCATCCTGCCGCCGGTCGCGAGCCTCTGTTGGCGCGAGTTGCCGCGGGACTAGGCTGTGGCGCGGGCTGGGCTGAGGGCGCCTCTCCCAGCGCACGCCCCCTCCCAGCCGGGCTCCCCGTGCCGCGGGCTGCGGAGTCCTGGCCGCCGCTGTCCTGGCCGCCGCTGTCCACTCTCCTCTTTTCCCCCTCGCGCCATTGTCCGTGCTCGGGCCGCGTCCTCGCCTCTGCGGTCAGCGGGACTGGTCGCCGCCCGCCAGCCGGGACAGCCGAGGCCGCACGTGGCTTTATTTATATTGTTTCCTTAGTGGCAGCTTCGCCACGCAAGGGGCGCCGTGGTTCCGCAAGGCTTCCGCTGTTTGCAGTGGGGGCTTCCCTGCGCTTTAGAACGGGGGCGACGGGGCGCTCAGGCAGAGAATAGGTGAGGTCAGTATTGGGGTCAGCAGGTTTACCCGACCAGGCGTCAGTGAGATGAGAAAGGTGGGACTGGGAAGAGCAGAGGGAGCGAACTTGCGTGGCCGATTTATCCTCCAGAGGGGAAGGAATGTATCATATGCGATTTATTTCTTACAACCAGGTTAGCCTTGCACAAACTTTGACCAACGCATTTTTCCCTTTGCATCTGTGTCGGTTTATTCTCAGATTAAAAAGTAAATAAATAAAGTGATGGAGGGGGGTGAGTTCAGGAGAATTGGTTATTTTACTATTTACAGGTTACAAACCCTGGACTTGTGGCTTTCCAGGAGAGGTTAGTTTTCTGTTAGCATGAGAAAAGGATCAAAGTCAGATGTGACTCGGAAACACAATGGGCGCCTTCCGGAGTAGTCCTTGCGGTTGGGGGCTGTTAGGGACGCTCGCTTCGCCCTAGGCATACCTTAAGGGAAGTCCGAAGCCTGGGCGTGGGAGCAGGACTGGTGTGTAAAGATTCCAAGAATCTGCCTTGATGAGAAACTGGGAAATCAGTGCTGATCGTTTGTAGGCATGAATTCAAAACAACCAGAAGAAAGATGAAACGTTCTCCCCAAATCCCTCATACTTCACAGAACTCCTTCAATACCCAAGACTTTAAGCCAACCTTTGCACTGAAGGCAGGAGGTGACATGATATCAGGGGATCATGGGATCCCTTACCCTGGCAGGGGCTGGGGAGGATTTGTATACTTAAGATAAAAAGCCTTTCCTCTGTTCTGATAAAAATGAATATTGGTTAGTTAAACAATTTCCTATCCCTATTAGACAGTAAAGACTAATTAGTGACACTTCTCCAAACACTTGGAAGTTTAAAAAAAAAATTAAGTTTCCCAATTCGATCACCCACTGAGTAAAAGTAGCAAGCATTACCAGCTTTTCAAAGTCAACAGCCCCTAAATATTTCTCTTACTTTACAGAAATTTTCTAAATGGGTTTCTTTTATATCAAAATGCAAACTTGTAATTTGTCACAAAAGATAAATGCACTTCCCAAAGGAGTAGGTGCCAACGGCTCCAAAAACACTTCAAGGGACAAGGAAATAAACTTGCTTGTTCACAGAGTTGGAGTTTTGCTAATGATTTCTTGTAAAATTAGACTTTTACGACTTACTCTGTTCAAGATCTTTTTGACAAGCTTGTAAAAGTAGCACACAGCTTGTGTTCATGGGTTTTCCTGATTTTGAAACTCCAGCAAGGAGCTTGAGAACAGAATTCTTATGCGACATAGAAATTACTGAAATTTTAAAGTGCTTGTGAAAGATGATAGGTTTGGTTTGTTGAAAAGTTTTCTTGAAACTTAGATTCACTCATAAGCTTGGTTTATTAATGTGTAAGTAATATGATTTGTTTATAATTGTGTGTTAAAATTATTCTATAATTCTGGATAAACTTTTCCCCCCTTTTCTTTACAGGAGTGTGGTGCTTTAGTGAACTGTTTTTTATAAAAGAACCACAGGATGTAACTGTCACAAGAAAGGAGCCAGTGACTTTAGATTGCCAGGCTCACGGAGAAGTTCCCATTAAGGTCACATGGTTGAAAAATGGAGCAAAAGTATCTGAAAATAAACGGATCCAGGTTCTGTCTAATGGCTCTTTATACATCACTGAGGTAGAAGGCAAGCGAGGAGAACAAGCTGATGAAGGATTTTATCAGTGCTTGGCAATGAACAAGTATGGAGCCATTCTTAGTCAAAAAGCTCATCTTACCTTATCAAGTAAGTTTTAAGTTCTTGATTGTTAACTTTTTTCTTGCTATATTTTGATGATTTCTTGACTCCTAATATAATAACTAAGGATCACATAATCATTAAGATTTCTCCTGGAGATAATAGCTGATGCTAAGACACAGAGAGAAATCTGAGGGAAAGTAAATTCAAATGAGTGAAACAAAAGTCAAATTAGGTATAGAAGACCTAAATCTGGAGATGTAGCTTTATATAAATTTAAGTGTTTCAAACACATTTTAGTATAGAAGTTTCGCAACACAGCAGAAAATTGATCTACAGTCTCTTCTTTTGGAAACTAGTGATTACAATTTAAAATTACAAGCAAATATGTATATTTTATAGATGGCTCTAGAATACCAAATCTTTCTTATAGCCCAATCTTCCATTTCTCAGACTGCTTTAAGATCTCCCATGTTGCTTTTTAACTATAAAGAGGGGCCATTGATCAGTAACTCTCAAGCCTTTGAAGTATCTCTAGTCTTTTTCTGCTGGGAAGGACAGAGAGTATGCCATTTCCAAATTATGTGTGATAGACTTTAAACCAGGTCTGCCCGCTTTTTCCCAATTGTTGTAGAGTTGCTGTCTTATGATTTCCCTTGTATTAACAACTCCATCAGATCAACCATTTGTCCAAGTGATCCATTGCTTGGTGGTTGATGTGATAACTGTGGAGGGTAAAGATGGGCCTTAAAATGGGTAGGCACTCCTTGTTCCCACTGCAGCTGCCCCCCTCCTCTTTCAAGCAATCAAACATGCAGCACTCAAGATTACAATACACAATTTCAATCTTAAACCCAATAACTGTATATTAGAAATAGTGTTATAGATACCCTGGCTAAATATTCTGTCAATCCACAGACGAGATTTGTACTTTACTTACAAATGGATCATTTAAAGGATGAACAATAAGAAGGGGCTCTTGAGATAAAGAGTAATCTTTAGGAAACAATTTCTTCAAGAACTATACAGTTGAAAATAGAAAGAGGTTTCCTAGGAGACTTTAACAGTCCGTGATCACACTTATCCCCTCTCATAATGCTTATTTGTAAATAATGATTTGTTGTAGAAACTAAACTACAAGCACTGATTTTTTTTTTTTAAATATTGAAGTATGTCAGGACAATAAAAAGCTTTCAATTCTAATCCCTCCAAGAAAATTCCTGGCAGACTTTTTTTTTTTTAATGTAATCTTTGACTAAAATTCTTTATTGGGGAAGTTGAATAATGTTTTTTTCTGTAAAGTGTTATTTTCAGAATACTGCTTTTTATGCTAATGTTCTGTTCATTTTGTCTAATTTAACCGTAGAGTTGCATTTTCCCATCATTTTGGGTTTGTGAAAACTTGCATTTTCATACCAGGAATTTGTATTATTTCCTTGTCAGAGAGGAAGGGGACAGGATGAAAAGTTGGGGGGGGGGGATCAAATAGGCCTAGAAAAAGAAGGAGCATTTGTCACGACCACACATTATTTCCAAGACCTCCTGAGAAGCCTGACAGAACTCTTCCTTACTCAGAAATATGTTGAAAACACACAGTGCTTTCAAACTTCATAAATAACATCTGAACAGTTTTAACAACTATTAATACAGGCTCCTTTACTATATTTAAATTTGTGTATCTTTATAAAAATTATCAATAATAAATACTTGATTAGATTTGAACCATTTTGTGGTAGTTTCCATAATATAAACAACTTTCCAATGAAGTTATGTAGGATATTTCATTGTTATTGAATACCAACTGTAATCTACTAGTGAGGGAACAATTATTTCATATTCATTCAGTTTATTTAACTCTGAGCAGCATTTTGCTAGGAGATTGCAGTTAGTGTTGTGGATTTAAAATATAATGCACAGTGATTTTAGCTTTTTCTTTAGAAATGTGGGGCTTCTTAGATATTATAAATTCACAAAGTTAGTTCTGCTCTCTGATAAGATCCAATGCTGCAGGCTCAAATGACTATCCTGTATTCAGGGTAGAGATGTTATGCATTTTAAACAGGAACAGGGTAGGCATTAAGTTAGCCGTTCTGGTGTGTGGGTTTTGTTGTTACTGTTTTTGTTTGTTTGTTTTGTTTTTAAATAGTTCCCTCCCAGTTATTGATAGCAGGGAGTAAGTGTGTTCTTTTTATTTTCTGGTCAGAGATTTTGTCAACACGCATTTATTTTGGTTCTGAAGTGAAATGAGCACCTGGAAAGCTAAAGTTTTTTTATTTGTACAAGTTTTAGATATTTAATACAGAGACTGTCAAGTCTTGATTTCTAAACTTAGGAACTAGAAGCTGAAAGTTGCACTCTAGGCAAGAATTCCATTATTCATGTGTAAATTAGGAATTCACAGGGTTAAAAGGTTAGAAAGTGGCCAGGATGAGGTTTACCCTTGTGATAAAGAGCAGATGACCCTCATTCATTGGCCAAAGCTTTCATGTAGTTCTTCTGCAAAGTTAGTTATTGCCATGAATTGTTCTTGAGGAATGCAGAAATTCAAATGTGAACAGGCCTTTCCTTAAGTGTCACTATGGAGCCTTATCTCCCAGGCACATCAGAGCTGGACTGTGGGGACAAGGTTCCTCCCCAAAGGCCTGGAGGCTTTGCTTTCCTGTTGTTCATCCAAGCACAAAAGAATTTGTCTAACTCAAGTTTTTCTAAGACAACCCATTTTTAAAGGAAAGTATAGGGTTAAAGTAATATTTAGTTTTTTTTTTAAGGTAATCCTTTTTATTGATAGTCATTTTACGTTTTCATGTAATTAGAACAGAAAGGGAGTGATGTGGGAGGCCCTTTTTCTAGCTGTACAATAGCAGGAACAGAAGATTAAACCATTTCCTATAAATTTCAATAGTTAGGCAAAGCAAAATTTCACTTTCATGGATACCAAGTCTTCACTGAATAAATAACTTAACTGAAATATTTTTTGGAGTAAAAAATGCCTATAGACACCTTGATGTTTCTTGCATTCTTCGTGGTGAAATAAGTAAGGCAAATTTCATAGGAAAGCATTAGTGGGGTAAAACGGTCTCATATTTCAACAAGTTTAAATGAAGATAAGAGACATTTGAGAGAAGTGAGGAGGAGGCGGATTGTGTTCTGTGATGTGTAAAAGACTGGCTGTAAGCTAGTGATTGAACAGGAAGCTAGTTGTTTATTTCCTTTCCATAAAAGGTGGAAACTGAAGTCTTAGGATAGAGGGAAAAGGAATATAAAGCTGGCTTATATTTCTTAGGTTTTTCAGTACTGTTTACTTGAGTGAAAAATAATTTTTCATTATTATTGAGCATTTGTAGCTGGAAGGCCATATGAATTATTATATTTTATGATGGATTAATTAAAAAATGAGATTAGTTTTGGCTTTCATAAAGTTGTTTCGGGATCCATTTTTATAACTTGTTTAGGAGTCCATTTTTATAGCTAGTGGTAATTGTTTCCTTTAAAAGGATGAAGGTGTGTTTTTTTTTTTAAATAACATTTTTGAATTGAGAAGAAACTTGAGGGATTTTGTGAGATTCATGAGAAGCTCTGTGAATATGGTTCTAATTTAAGGAATAATATATAGATTATAACCCAAAATTTGATATAGACTACACTTAAGAGTTGTGTTTAAAAAGAGAGAGAATCAGTGATATATTGACACAAGAAAGATAAGAACAATGAAAAAGCCTAGATTTGAATTTTGTTGATATCCCTGGATCCAAGGTGGGGAAAATTTTGATACATTTTCACTTTTAATTGAGAATTGTGGCTGCTGTGAGGGATAGTGTCTCTTTCCTGTGTGTGTGTTTACTTGAAATCAAACTATTAACAGTTACTTGCTTTAATTCAAGAATGCTGACACATGCAGAAATCTTAATGATTTTTGAAAAAATAAAACAGAACTGAGACATTTAGAGAGATCAGTCTCAGCACTACATATGAGATCGTATAGATGATGCTCTCTGCGACTAGAAAAAATCATCTTTAAAAAGAAGGGGTATGGTTCAAAAGTACATGATTATCATAAAAACTGACCATTTTAAATAGCATAAGTTGAGTCAAGAAAGTAGAAGCACATAGAATTCTACAGTCTTATTTACAATGACACTTGGTCCTTAATGTCTGTCTACTTAAAAGCTTTATCAGATGTCTCATAATCTCTGGGTAATTGGACCAGTTTTTCCCACTTTGCACTTATGATTAGTAAGGATCATTTCTCATCTTCAGAGACCTGTAACACTATCTCACTGTTGTTCAAATTGTTGGATTTTTTTTTTTAAGCCATGCTGTATCCAATGAGGGGGAGAAATATAATTTTTCTTTAAGATATATTTAGGTGTGTTTATTTCTGTCCAGTTCCTTAATGGAATTTTGAAAGGGTATTTAGTATGGCCCTCTTTTGTCAACTGTCTTCTGAATATTTTAAAGAGCCATCCTCTCAGCAGTTGTTTGCTCAGGGACTTGTTGTCATTGCTCCTGAATTTAACAGCTGGGTCTGTTGATGAACTCCAAAGCAGTAAAAAAGCATAGCAAAAAACAAGCCTTTTAAGGAGGATTTTAGGTGGAAAGACTATTTCACTCAATAAGTAAATGCTTTAGAGGTTACTTTTTTGAAAACTGTATTGCTTTGTGGGTTTTTTTTTTTAAAGATTTATTTATTTGTACAGAACTGGGGTACGGGCCAGAGATTCAGAGGGTGAGAGGATTCACCAGAGACAGAGTGGGGTGCAGAACAGGCAGATAGACGAAGTACACTGTTGAGGGGAGCAGGGGCTGGTCAGGAGAGGTCTGCCTCCCAATGTGGATCTCCTCCGGGGCAGGCAGGGATTGAACTCATGTGGAAGTGGCTTAAGCTTCTTTGTGCTGTGCTTTAACCTGCTGCGCCACCTGGGAGAGCCTGACTGTGGGTTTTAAGGGAAGATTTTACCTCTCATAGGATCACTTAACTAGGATTGATTACTTTCAACTTTTAAATTGGCATATAAATTGGCATATTGATATGAAAAAAATAATGTGAA